CAATTTCATCGCTGTTAGAAGGGTGGTTTTTTTGTATGTTATAGCCAAACAAGTTATATGGTAACGATTGAAGGACCTTAGACCTCGTTTGGCCAGTAGACGATCCTATCCACTGGGCTCTAGGGGGGCAAACATAGTTAGCTTCATTTTAGGTAAGTTATAACAGAACCAGAAGTATTTCTATTAGAAAATTGTAAGAAACTTTTTGCTCTGACTGAGAATGTGTACTTTCGATTGAGGCACTTGGGGCTGATGGAGCTTGAATAACCCAGTTTGGCTATGACTTGTAAACGTAGAATCGAGTCCAGTTCAGAAACTAAAGCTGGAGGCTTCGCCATTCCCAGTTTTGTCCGCTTTTGCTCGGAGAACACGCCATGTAGGATAAAGGATTAGGTTTTCTGGCCTTGATCATCCCTATTCGGGGATGCGCCCACACAACAACTTCCGTTCAGAAATTTAGCGACTTTTGAAAGCGTATGTGGCCTACACAGTAAAGTAGCGGGTGGGTAATCGATATAGTACAAGTCAGTGATTTATTCTCCTAAACAAATCTGGCACCAATCACAGGACCCGTGGGACGGATAGCCTGGTTGGCCTGAACGAGTTTCGGTCCGAGATTCGATCCCTGACTCTCGGACGGTGATAGTGTGCCACTTGGCATTGCCCTCTACGCCAGAGAAATAGACCATAGTCAAAACTTAAGCTTATTTACAATTTTAGGCATCGAAATGCTACTTTGGTGTATACCGCAGGACTGTGGGATCAATTAGAAGTGGAATTCACATTCAGAAGACTATATGGGTACTATGTTCTTCAGGTATATAAGTTTTTTTTAGAACTTTTCTAAGTTTTGTCTTAACTCACTGCATTTGCTCTTCCTTTTTCTCAGAGTTGTTTGCACTTTTATTTCCCAACGAGAAACGGGATAAATGCAAAAATGTTAACCAGTAATTCTTTTGCACTGTCAACTGTTGAAAAATGTGCGAAACTCTTTCAAATCCCTGGTGAAACGAATGTAAAAAAGCCCGCCTTCCCAAGAGCTATAACTTATGAACACCCCCGTGAGTTTCAAGAAGTTCTGAATAATTGTAACATCAGAGTTACGTGCTGTCGTTAGGTAACTGGATTATTACTAAATAAGTAATTGAACGAGTAACGGGTACACAACTGGCAGACGCCGTGCCCAGTTGTGTGAAGAAGTTTTTGAAGGTTTTGTCTCCATCTTTGAAAGTGGCTCTTGACGCCGAATCGTTCCGGGAATCCTGCCGTTGGACCAGGCTGAGGGAAACTCATAATGTATATGGATCAGGAAATGTCTAAAGTGTGGAGATGAGAAAATTCGACTGAAATAACCATATTCCTTGACTGCTCTGTTAAGAGCTAACTTTTTGATGATGCAATAGGGGCTTTACTCCTCTGGCATTGTTTGATTTTATTTTGGAATGCGCCACGCATCCACAATCCGTCAAATCCAATCACTTACGAAAATCAACCGAACTTGAAGATAACGCTTTTATCCTCCCAGACGAGTCAATCAACCGACCCAGAGCGATGAAAGAATCAGTCGGCTTGATCGAGTTTGATCCGGAATTCGATTACAGTACCATATGTGTGGTAGTGCGCCACATGACAGTATACCACCTCCTATATTGGTAGGAGAATGGAAAATGGCAACGAATTGACTGGCTGAACTCGGATTCCAGTCTTGTCTGAAAACGAGTGCTTAAAATAGCTTGCCCAACGGACATTATAAACCCAGCTTTCGGGGAAATTGGTGGAAGCACGCAGAGAAGCCTTGTTGTCAAAGAGATTAGGTCACCACACATACAAGGTTTCGATACTCTTCGTTGATGGCTATGATACTCGCCTTCTACTCCAAGTCGNAAGTCGGCCCACTCCTTCTGGACCTTGGAGTCATCATAACTTTTACCATGAACTTTCTTCTTCTATTTTTTTTTCATGTGACATTTTGAAAGAAGTTTTTGGAATGAAATTAATGCATAAAGTGACGGCAACCTTTCAGGCCTATATGCCAACTTATCTTTCTGTTTTTATTTCATGGATAGCATTTTGGATTGACACTAAGGTAACAAGTCTGCCACGTAAAAATTGGAAAACTCGTAAAATTGAATTCAAAAAAATGGTTTTTAGGCGTTACCAGCGAGAATAACGCTGGGCGTTTCATCATTAATGGCTTTGACGTTTCAGTTTGGTAATATCGTGAAAAATCTTCCGAGAGTCAGTTATGTCAAGGTAATTACAATTCTGAACTCATCTCAGTTACACCTAGATTACTTACACCAAACATTAAGTGGAAGCTCTAACAATAAGTTTAAAGCTACTTTAATTCACCAATGCTTTCAAAAGTTCGAAAGTACTATGTTTTTATTTCATTTTTGTTGATTTTTTTATATACATGCTGAAAAAACTGGAGTACCATGCTGGCCCTTGTCGCTGCTTAACTTTATAGAGGACCTTGGCCCATCGTTCACTGCGAGTCAAAGGGGAAACATGGCATTCTGCCAAATACATAGAAAGTGAAAGAAACTATTGTTTTAAGTGAAGTAGAAATGGTCTACTGAGTTTAGTTCATCTCGGGGTAATCCAAATAAATTGTCTCCGGAATAATCTCTTCTTTGTCGAATACTTATGAACATCGAATATATAAAGTATGGACAGAGTCAGTATGAGGCCCTTATATTTGTGCTGCACCTCATTTTTTATTATTTTTTGTAAAATTCATTTTAAGGAAATTTCACTTTTGTGTGTAATCTCGTATTAATAATGAAGTTTGAGAACACAAACATTATCGTTGCCGTAATATTCTCCCTCCAGGACCACAAATACATTTTTTTTTATAACAGCTTTCTTTTACACTGACTTCTTACCGTAATTTAAAGGTCCTGCCAAAAGCTCTCTGTTTAAGGCACTCGACATTTGGATGTTTGGTTGCGTAGGATTTATATTCCTTTCACTTGTTGAGGTAGGTCAGGTTTTTATTCAACTTCGAATGAATTTTACACCTTTTTTTTTATTTCGTTTTATATAATTATGTAGTAAATGTAAATACTCACAGTGGAAAAATCAGCAGAGAAGCTTGTGTTTCAAAGAAATTACGTTCAAAAAAAATAAATACGCATACTTCTTCGGTACTGTAGATGGTGATTACTCGAGTGCTATCCCATCTATTCCATGTTCTGCTTTATATTGAAACTTAGGGCAGCCAAGTTACTTGTTACTTACTGACTATATTTTACCATATTCGATTCAGTTAGCCGTGGTTGGTTTCGCCGACAAACTTGACGCGAAACGGAAACGATACGGAAGGTCTATTGAGCATGCAGTTATGCGTAGTGATTCTGAGCAACAGTGGCTTTCCAGACTTCAACGGAGTCATTTCACTGAAGGTTCGATGGGAGGCTCACATTCAAGCTCAGTAGTTTCTTTGAAAAGTGTTACTTTTAGTTGTGGATAATCGAAGTCCACTAACTACTGGTGGTGTTCCGTTACTAGTAGCACCCGAAGGCAACGGAAATACCCAAAGAAAGCGTTCCGAAGAAAAAACTCGGCAAATGTACGTGCACGTAGAACATCCTATTCATGTAAATGGAGAGAGAATAGATGAAGTAAGTTTATTTCTGATACACATGATTGAGGAGATTCCTAATAAGAATTACTGGGAACTGAAATTCTCGCTGGGTCAGTTGCACTTATAGAAAATGGTTTTCCATCTACTTCCCTTTGAAAACACGACGTATCTCCCCGTTAAGTACTTGAGTACCTTACCAGTACCCTGTAAATTCAATAATCTCAACGTACTTATCCTCCCAGAAAAAAATTCTCAACTTAATAACTAAAATTCAGATTTCTGCGAAGCTGTTCCCATTGATGTTCACAGCTTTCAATATATTCTACTGGTTCTACTATATTGGAATGTCAGGAGGAATATTTTAAATTTGATGGCCTTTTAATTGTTCAACTTGCCTATTTCTTTGCCTACATGATGACGTGATTCCTATCAAATATATCAAATATCTATACATTGTTATTATCATTAATCAAGCTGAGTAAATACTAGTCTGTGTATTGTATTGTCATTTTGATTGGGTATAAATACTTGGTTATATTTTTGTAAGCTTGCTTTGGAATGTATTATTGATTACAAGTGCATGTGGTGTAGCAGGAGTTCCGTCGCACTCTCAGTCCGCGGCGTTTCTTGGTTAGTTGTCTCGCCGCGCTGTGTCACGTGGTGGTTTTAGAGCGCGGCTTGCTTTCGGGACTTCTAACCTTCAACCCGAAGTGCAAATGGTTATCAAGAAAATAAAAACGATGACGGTCGTTCCGAAAG